TTTTTTTTTTTTTTTTTTTCTTATTTTAGGTCGATACTGATATATTATATAATTATTATAAATATATTATTATTTAATTTCTAAATCGTTAATATAATTTATTCAACTGAAATAATAAAATGAAAATGTTAAAAAATAGTCTGCTCGCTGTAAATTCTCTAAACGGGGAAGAAGGTGATTTTTTTTTAATAGGCGAATTCGTTTAAATAAAACGATATGATTATTAATAATAATCATTATTATTATTATTATTATTATTATTAATTAATTAATTTATTATTATTATTTAATATAGACTTCGGGCGCGATTAGATTCGATTTCAATACAAACATGATTTATTTATACATTATTTAATAATCTGCCTATTTTTTTTTTTTTTAATTATTATTATTATTTTCTATTTTGCGATAAGAGGAACGTGTTCATATTTCTTATATTTATATATATATATGTATATGTATAATATGTATGTAATATGTGTGTAATATGTGTGAGAGAGAAAGAGAGAGAAAGAAATGGAAAAGAGGAACAGAAAAAAAAAAGAAAACAATTTACAGTTACTTCTTAATTTACAATCGTTAATAATAACAAACAATGATTTAAATATTTCATTATAAATTAAATCCAAATAAATGTTTTGTTATATTTGTATATGTAAGTAAATGTTCTTACGAGAGAACTTCAAATATTAAAATACAAATTTTCCTAATTAAATTTATCATTTTATATAACAAAAATTATTTGGATTATTGTTGTTGTTTGTATGTGGGTGTGTGTGTTTTTTTTTGTAATTAAATTAAATTAAATAATTTGATTTAACTGATATTTTGTTTCTTTTTTCTTTTCTTTTTTTTTTTAAATAAACTTCGTCTACTACATTTAAACTTAAATTGTATCGTGACGCATAATTTTGATTTAATAATAATTTACGTATGGATATTTATTATTTATAAATTTATTATTAAATTATAACAAATTGAAAATAGACATTTTTTTCTTGTTTTTTTTTTTTTTTTCGTAATTTTATTTTCTCGGATTTGTTTTTTTTCTGTTGTAAATTATCTATTTGAAAAATATCATCAATTATCTATATTCATTTAAATTATTATTATTATCTCTCTCTCTTTTATTATTTTTTTTTTGTCAATAGTTTGAAGTATATATTATTTTTTTCATTAATTAATTTATTTCATTAATTAATTAATATAGCATATTTGGTATAAATAATAAAACCATTCGATCGTCAATCTTCACTCTCACTGGGGGTTAGGGGGTTGGTGGGTGGGAGGGGGGTCTAAAAAAAACAGTCTACGTTCTCTCATTCTAAATCAAAAGCACAATAATGCCTCTGAATATATGTAATTTTAATAATATGTATGTATATATGCATGTATGTATATATATATATAGTTTCTGTATATTTGTTTTTTTTTTTCATTCGTGAAACGACGTTAAAAAATATTATTATTAATATTATTTTTAATTTATAAAAACGTCGTGATATTTTGTTGTTTATTTGTTTGTTTGTTTGTTTGTTTGTTTGTTTGTTTGTGTCTTTCTTCTATTTTAACTTGTAATTTTTTATCTCTTTTTTTATTTTTATTTTTATTTTTTTTTTCTATTCATGGAAGCGACTTTATCATTATTTTATTATTTTCATTTTTATTTTTATTTTATTTCTGAACACGGTTTTAGCACCAAGAAAAATTCTTTTAAACTTTTCACTATTTTTTCTTTTTCTTCTTTTTTTTTTTCTTCTTTTTTTTTACTATATATGTGTGAGAAGTACTAATAATAGTAGGTAGTAATAATAATAGTAAGTAGTAAGTAAGTAATTAATTAATTAATTAATAATAATAATAATGATGATAATAATAATAATAATAGTATGTAAATAGTAATTGTAGTAGTAGTAGTAGTAGTAGTAGTGTGTTAGGAGGAGCATGCATAAATATTAATTATGCTATTGCACGAGCTAACAATTATTTTCTTTTCACCATTTTTTTTCTTTTTCTATTTTTCTCTCTTGTCTCTTTCTATTATTTAAATATATATATTTTTATAATAATAATAATAATAATAATAATAATAATAATAATAATAATAATAATGACAGTATAATAATAATAAATATTATTTTGTGTTAATTGCACAAATTATTTACATGTATACGTTATTTCAGTATGTATATATATATATATGTATATATAAATGTATATATGTGTACGCATATCATCTCTCTCTCTCTCTCTCTCTATGAAATTACATGCTATGGGGTATTTCTGTTTTTATGTTTTTTTATTTTTAGATTGTCTAAATTATATAGGATATTAATTAAAACATGAAAGAGAGAGAGAGAGTGAGAAAATCCTACGAACGACAAAAATATATATTTAATGTCTTATTATATAAAAAAAAAAGGAACTGCACAAAAGAAAGAAAAAAAAAATATTCTGCAGCAATGAAAAAAAAAATATATATATATGCAGCTTTTGTCTTTAAGAAGAATTTAATTTCTTCAATTAATGTCTCTTCATGTTTTTCCATTCATTTTATTTCTAATGATGTTTTATACGTGAATTAATGATTAATGATTAATGATTAATGATAATAATAATATTATTAACAACAACGAAGATCATACCTTGCAAAACTTAAATTATACAAATATTCATAAATTATTAATATATATGTAGTATATGTATGCGTGTAATTTTATATATATATAAAGAAGAATTATTATTATGTAAAACAAACTTATTTTAAATAATTATTTGAAAAAGAAAAAGAAAAAAAAAGATTCGATTAAAAGTTCATAAATTACAAGTTAAAGGAACGTTCATTGTGTATATATATATATTATATTCATTTTAAACGATTCTTTGTGTATATAAATGTTTAATATTAAATAATAATTATATAGAAGAATATTAATAATAATATAAATAAAAATAATAATAATAATAATAATAATAATAGACGATTTTCTTATCTGAACGATAGACTAATGATAATAATAATAATAATAATAATAATAATAATAATATATCTCTTTCCTGATGTCTATTATTTTGTTGATTAAATTAATGAATGAAAAATAATAATTAATTAATTAATTAATAAAGCCTGGCGTTTAAAAACAAAGTGCAAAATTGTATAATAAATTGATTTGTTTAAATCGTCCTGCACTAAAGGAAAAAAGGAAGAAACAAACAAACAAACAAACCAACAAACAAACAAAACAATTCAATCAACATCCATATCTCAAGACGATAATTACTCTAATTATCGTTAACTAATAAAAACTATCTATCAGTCGTAATGATTTGCTTTTGTTTTTTTTTTTTTTTTTTTTTATTCATTTATTAATAATTATTAATACGATTTTATTTATTTATTCGAGAGCTGTGATTAAAGTGACGACAATGATTGCGATTTAGGATTGGTATTATCTCGGTCTTTGCTTATTGAAAAATTCGTAACGAGATTATACGTAATATATAAATTAATTCATCTTGCATAATTATGTACATTTATAATTGTGTGTTGACTTTATTAGTATTATTATTATTATTATTATTATTATTTAAAATAGTATTTTTGTTTTTATTCTATTCGCTGCCATGTATAATCAGCTACATTCTCTCTCTCTCTCTCTCTCTCTCTCTCTCTTTCGTTTATTCTATCATCCAGGAAATGATCATTAAAAAGGCAGTATCTTTTCTGTATATATATATCTATATGTATATGTATATGTATGTATAAATTAATAAATGATTTCATTAACGATCAACAATAATCAATCTGTTCGATTACTTATTCGTGGACATGCACAATGTGAAAATTAATGATAATGAATTATAATTATATTTATTTATATCTATATCAGAGAGAGAGACGGAATTGAGACGTCGTTATAATAATATTTAACAAAAAAAAAAAAAAAATAATAATAATAATCATCAATTCTTTTATAATTGTTCTTTCATGTTAGCTTGGAACTCTGTCATTAACAAAATGCCCCGCGCGCGATTACAACTTAAGATTATTGTTCATTGATAAATAATAAATGATAAATACGTTTTCCTATCCTTTCGTTCTAGACACTGCCTTTTTTTCTATTATTTTCTTTAATTACAATTTATTTCCTCTTTCTTTCTTTCTTTCTTTCTCTCTTTCTCTCTTTTTTTATTTTTGTTTTGTTTTTTGTTCATAGCGACGAGAAATAAATGAGCTATGAGTTTGTTGAGTCTTAGTTACAAATTCGTCGTTGATGATTATATTGTAATTATAAAGAAGAATTGCCATTGTGTAAATGGACTACGTTTTTTTATTATTACCACCGATGTAACCATTGTTCAAAGTTTCAGGTTCGTTCATATATTCGACTCTTGGCGAATGGCGTCTATCTTTTCCTTCAATGTCAACGTCAATTTCTAAAGTGTTCAACGATAACGATGGAAAAGAAAAGTTTCTTTCATAATTCGCTAATATCATCGGACTACTATTCTCATAATCAGGATTTTTCTTGGATTTAGATTTGATCGATATTGGACTATCTTCTTGCGTTCGTTGTTGCTGTTGTATGTGTTGTTTGATCAAATTTTGTAGACTCGTTGCCCTTCCTGTTGACGTTTGATTATCGATTCCTTTTGATGTACTTTTAGCATGAATGAATGGCGAATTTTTAACAGATTTCAAACTATCCTCGACGAATGGTAAATTTAACGTATCTTTGCTCGACGCTAAAGAATCTCCTGAAATACCATCGAAATCATCGAAACCTGCTTTCAATGGTATCTTAGACAAATTCATGTCATGGAAGTTCGTCGTTGTTGTTTTAGAATTCTCACCGTATGGCTCTGTGTAACGTGGGCTTAAACTGTTTTTAATACTGGTTGGCTCGAAACTTGCAAAATCCCCAAAATCCTGACGTAAAGGAGAATCTTCTTCTCCTTCAGCTTCCTCTTCGCGAAACTCTTGAAGAGTGGTCATCTCCAGATCCCTGTTATTATCAAATTGATAGATACACCATTAAACACAGAACATAGATTAAACGAATATAAGTATAAAATTAGATTACTTGTCAGTTTGTGGCGAATGCGACATATTTTGATTTCTCGCTTCGATGCCTTCAGAGCTGTGATAAAAACTGACACGTTCAAAATCTTCCAAATTAACATCTGGTAGCAATATCGTAGCTATGTCGATGAAAGTTGGTCTTCTTGTTGCTTTATGGCACCAAGTACGTCTCATTAAATTGTAAAGAGAGTCTGGACAGTTTTCAGGACGTTCCATAACACCTCCCTCGATTACATATCGTAATACCTAATGAAAATACAAATCAATGTTACAAACAATCTCATTTATAGTATTATCATCAAAATTCAATAAACTCATTTAACAATTATATTTGAATTTTAACCTGGTCATTCGACAAGCCTTGATAAGGTTGAGAGGCAAGAGTTACCATTTCCCATAAAACGACACCATAACTCCAAACATCGGAAAAACTTGTAAAGACGCCATCCTTCAAGCTTTCCGGTGCCATCCACCTTACAGGTAAAAGACCTTTGGTACCTTTACGATAATAATCAGTCTCATAGATATCCCTGGTCATTCCAAAATCACCGATCTTGACTGTAAGATCTTCGGCTACCATACAATTTCTTGCTGCCAAATCTCTGTGAACAAATTTCTTTGCAGCAAGATAAGCCATGCCATCGGCTATTTCAATTGCCATTTGTAATATTCTCTTCAAAGTCGGCGGTTGTCTTGAGAAATTTTCACAAACGTCAGGTCTATGACTTCTCAGGTAAGTCTTCAAATCACCATTCACCATGAGTTCCATTACTACCAATGTAGGTTGTCCCTGAGATACTACACCGAGTAATCTTACCACGTGATGAGTGTTAAAAGCTCTATTAATAAAAATATAAATAATTACATTTCAACATGTTCATTGTGATCAGAAAAGAAAAGAAAAGAAACAAAATACTTGCTTCATGACAGACGCTTCGTTGAGAAATTCTATTCTTTCTCTATCAGTCGCATTCTCATTAACAGTTTTAACAGCACAACGAACTTCAGGTTTCCCTTTAACAACGTCTTTGGCTAAACCTTCGTAAACCATTCCAAAAGACCCATTTCCTAATTCTTTCAAAACTTGAATTTTCTTTCTAGGTACTTCCCATTCGTCGGGCACGTAAACTGAACTCACGTATTCGGGATTAACAGTTGCTATGAGTCTAACACTAGGAACGTTACGCATATACTTTTTTTTGCAGAAATAAAGGACTGCAGGTGACAGGATCACGACCAAAATACAAAATATCGACCAAAATAGTACCCAATAGAGTCCAATATTGGATTCCTCGATGAAGAAATATGACGGCTCGGTATAATTTCCATTTCCGGCCAAGCTGGTAGCTCTGACCTTAACCGAGTAATTGCCAGGTGGAAGATCTTTAAGATAGTAGACATTGCCAGATGCATTGAAATCACGTCTGGTGATGCAAACTACCGTTGCTTTTATCTGTAAATAGTATAAAGTTATCAATTAATCAATTATATATTTTACAATGTTAAAATCAATGTTATTATAAAAGAAAATATCATTACATTTAGTATATCAACTCTCTTATATTCGATTTGATAAGTAACGATCAAACCATTGGGTTCCGATGGTTCTGCCCAAGTAAGCTTAATATCAAAAGTATTATTCGTTTTTATCTTAGTCCATTTCAATGTGTTAGGTGGAATATTATCAGCTCCTTTTAACGGTAAAGTCCGATAAGTCTTCATACTCTTAGTCGAGCAAGTATCATTGGTATCATTTTTCACAACTTCACGACAAGCTTGTACTTCGATGTTATAATAAGCAAAATGTCGAAGATTTTTCACAACGTAACTGAGATTTGGTGTGGGTACTATTCTGTCGAATGTGATATACGTATTGTTTATCATCTCTTCATTTGGATATTTTTTCTGCAAAGCTTCCGCCTATCGTTAAAGAAAATAATTATTTAATAAATTATTCTTAATAGAAAAGTGTAGTTAAGTTTTGTTTGAATATAGAAATGATATTATTATATACCTGGGTGATATTTTGTTCCATCATTCTGACTGCTCGAAGTATCTCAGAAGTGTCTCGTCTTCTACGAGCATCTATTCGTTTCACATAAACTTGATTATGTAAAGCATCCTCAAATGCAATAGAACTTGAAACTTCTTTTTCGCGCATCGATTGATCCAATTCCCTGTCAGCACAATCGCAGGAAGCTAAGTCTGGTATTTTAACTAATTCTTCTTCAGCACGTTTTCTTTCTTCCTCAGCTATGACAGAGATCGATTTTTTCTCTGGCAAAGGCATTGCTAAAAAAAAATTACGTAAGATTATAAGATTTATAATAATTCTATAAAGAGTTATTATTAAATAATATAAAACACTTACGTTCATCGCAGTAGTTTCTTTGATCGATAAAACTGGAATCATCTTTTACCCAACGTCCCATAATTCTGTAGTGCGTAAGATTACCATTCTTTTTTAAAGGTGGAGACCAAGAGATTATAATTTCGCTGCTAGAATTGCTACGAGTTGTAAGAGCTCTGGGTGCACTGGGTGCATGGGGTTTGGTGGTAAAATATGTAACTTTGCTTTGAGCACCTGACCTCTCTGTAGCGATGGTGTATGTTTTTACATAAAATGCGTATTGCGTGAATGGTTTCAATTGTGTTAGGATGTGAGAGAGGTATGTTGTTTTTTCTGGTTCTGTATAATTAGGAGTAACAGATTTGGTAGTTCCTTCAATGGCAGAAACGTCATCAACTCTCCAACCATCACCTCCACAAGCATCTCTTCCATCATACATGGTCACATTTTCATTAGGTGCTTCGATAAAGTATACAACGTATCCCAGTAACGATCTGGGATCATGATGAGTGAATTGTTCCCATTCGATCAATGCTGCATCCGATGTAGTTTTGGTGACAACTGTTTTCAATTCAGTAACATTACAAGCTACTTTATCTCCATTGCTGTTAGGTGCAACTTCGAGATCAGTAAATTCTTGAAGATGTGCCTTTTTTCTCAAAGCTTCAATCTTATAAAAGCAAAGCTTAGGATTGAAATGAAAGAATACTTTGGCTGGCCCGTCTTTGGAGTAAATAGCAATATTAGGGTGCGTACTCCAATCCCAAAGTTCTTGAAGATTTTGATTATCCAAAACAGCAAGAGTATATTTGTTGTTGTCCAAAGAATTTCCTCTTATAACTCTGAGACTCTTTAAAAAGTTCAACGATATCAGTGGAAAACTTCTGACAATTTTCAGATAACCATCGATCTCTTCTATCATATTCAAACTATCCTCCAACTCGTTGACTATGTTTTTACCACCTCTTATTTGAATCTCAAGGCTACCAGTTATGTGAGTACAACCACGTAACTTCTGAGCTGAAGCAATACTGTCAACACTGGTACCACGACATTCTTTTAAACAAGGACCCTTACATTTTCTACAAGATGTCTTGTTGTTAACTTCTTCATCCATGTATCCAGCAGGACACTCAATTATGCAACTACCATTGAATGGTTTATATGGATAGTCTTTGACAATACTTAAAGCTTCACGTGGCTTCACCATTCTACGACATTCATCCTCACCAATGCAACGACGATTCATAAACTCATATGTACCTTCTGGACATCGTTCTCCACATTGATTAGGTCCAATTAATACATTCTTACAAACTTTGCAATCATTTGCTGTTCTTCCTGTACAACCTCCCAAACATGATGGATGACAGCACTGACCTGATGCATCGCAGGCACCTTCCAAACATCTGTCGCAAACTGTAAAGCATCATTTTTAAATTAGATTTTGATTGCAACGTAAATGCAATTATTTATTTAGAAATAAAAAGGATACTTACTTCGCTGACAGTGTTGTCGATTCCAACAAAATGTCTCATCAGGCTTATTGCTAATCAATCTTGTAGTACAATTTTTTTCACATATCGGACAATCATTCTTTGGTTTATTTCCCTGTCAAATATAACAATAAAAATGATTAATTTATATATGTCAATAAAAAAATGTCACTTATATCGAACAAAAAGTAAGGTTAGAATAATGAATCGTATGTACACTTACATGAAACAATTGAAAATTAAATAATATTCTTCATTTTAATAGAATAAATGTAATATTTATATGCACACATGTATTTGAAGAAAAA